AAGACAAACTTGGATTTAATTTTTAATTAAAGAATCTACTTGGAAAGAAAACTTGATAGAGTTTTTTTAAACATTGGTTTTAGGTGATTTGATTGAGTAATGACTTTGAAAGAGCTTTGCAAAGTTATGATTGTTATAGATGAATTTATTTTTAGTTAAATTAAAAATTAAAAATAAAAAAATTGGTAATTTGTGTAAATTATATAATAGATCTATAGGTGAATTTTTTTAGATTTGTAGACATATTTTTACTGAAAGTGTTTTGTGAATTTGAATTTAATCAAATGATTAAATCAAAGATTATAGAAATTCAAGTCAATTAGATTTTTAGAAATAGGATTTTAAAGATTAGTAAGGAATTCTATGATTTTGAATAATTATCTTATGGATTAAAATTATTTCTTTGTAAACTCATATTGGACTTAATTTCTCAAATTAATGCAAGTTTAAAAAAAAAGTAAATAATGCAAAAAGAAGCAAAAATTGTTAGAAGGTTGACATCAAGGTTTGAAAAAAGAATTAACCAATATCCAAGTAGACTAAGAGATTTTTCTTCTATTTTGAAAGTTTGATTCTCTTTTAATTTATTTAATTTATTTTTAATAAGTATATTGAGGAGAATAAATTTTTTGAATAAAAAAAAATTATACATAATTATAATTGATATTTTAAATTTTCTATATAATTTAGTTAATATTTTATTAGAATTTATTAAGATATACTTAAATTGTGGTTAATATTCGATTAATATTTTTAAAATATAAATACAATTCGATTTAGGTTATTTAAAGTTTATAAATGGTTTAATTAGAATAAAATTGGTATTTTATAAAATATTTCTTTAGAAATGGTTGTAGATAAATTAAGATTTTTCATAATTTTTTTAGAATTTCTTTAAAACAAATATATGATTGATTATGGCTTCTTTAGATTTATTAATTAATTTGTTTTTTTTCATTTATTGGGTTTATATTGTGAATTTGTTAGGATTGATAAATATTATTTAAGGTTTATTTAGAGTTAATTAAGGTATGATAAGATATTTCAAATATTTTTTATAGATTAATAAGATATATTTGGCATAAATAAAAAAAATAAACAAATAAAGTTTTAAGATTTTCAGACAAAATGTTTTAATACCTTATGCATTTTTTTTGGGTTTTAAATCCAACTTTAAGGTAAGATCAAATTCTTCTATAGCCAAATGCTAAGTGCACTCTCAATCAAATTTTTACATACTACAACTATTTTATAATAAGAATGTGATATTTTATGATATTGTGAAAAAAGTTCTAGCAAATATAGAAAAAAAAAAATTCAGAAAGAGAAGAGAACTCGTAAGCCAACATATATGCAAAGCAAAGCAAAACAAAACAAAACTTTAAAGGATATGAATGTGTGTGTTGTATGGATTGTAAGTCATATGAAAATATTCTAATTGGTAGAATTATTAAAAATATTTTAAAATTTATTTAGATATAAGATTACTAATATTAAAAAAATTATAAGATTTTTTAAGTTTATATTAAAACTTAGAAGGTTTTATAAAATATAAGTGTTTTATTAGAGAAAAAATCATGAAATTGATGTCTTAATAAGTCTTAGAAGCAATCATCTTAGTAGGATTAATATTTTTTCTTAGTGGTGAAAATTAGTGTTCATTTATTGAGACAAATGTCTATATTGGTCTTTCATTCACATATATTATTCATTGAAAATCCATAAATTTTAGTTAATTAGCAGACGAAGAATGAAAAATAAAATCATATCATTTTTACTTATTTATATAAAAATTATGATTTTTAATTATTTAAAATTGTTTTATTACTATAAAATATATCAAGATAGAAGAAATTTATAATAAATTAATTTTACTAGCTTAAAAATATTATAAATAATTTTTGAAATTTATTGATAATTTGATTAGAGTTATTTAAGGATTTTGGTATGATTAAAGAAGAAGACCTTGTAGTCTCTATAAATCACATATATACACTACTTATGAGTCTTGGTGAAGCTCATTTTCTAATCTATGAAGTACTTATTCTTCAGGCACACCTATTTAATTTAATTTAATTTTTTTACTTCTTATCTTTAAACCATTATAATGTAGTCTTCATTTAATCTCTACTTGAATGAAGACTTGACATCAAATAAATGATAAAAAAAAATCTTCTTCTTCTATAATTCATATAACATCTTAGCTTCAATAAATAAAATTTTGATTTTTTTGGACATAAAAGATATTTCTTGTTTTGAATTTTGCTTTTGAATTTTTTTGAATAAAACAAGAAGAAACTCAAGACTAAAAGATGTTTAATCTATATACAAATTATATATTTTTTAACCATAATATATCTAAAATAAAATATTTATAAGATATTTTTTAATATTAAATACTATTAGATATAATAAATTTTTAGGAAAAATTATATTAAAAATATTTTATAAATAGCATGTCTTAAAAATAAAGTTTTTTCATCTATGACTTCTAATTGTACTAAAAATATCTTATGAAACTTAGTAAATTTTTTATCAAGAAAATATGAAGAACCATCAAAATCTAACAAGACATACAAAATTTATATGATTTTTGGATTCTCAATAAATTTATAATAATAGATAAGCATAGTATTTAAAAATTAATATATAATTTTTATAAGATAATTTTGTATAAGAAACTAGGCACATGTTTCTTTGTAATAAAAGACATGCTTATTTTCTAAGATATCTTCTTATTTTAGAAATATATTTATTATCTTATAGTTTTGTTTATTTTTAAAAAAATATCAAAAAATATGTTTTGATACTTTATAATATAGAAATATTCTTTTCATTGATATTAAGTTTAAGCTTGTATTATAAGAAATTTAAAATTTATAGTTTCAATGTGTATATATTTTATTTTTAATTATATACCTTTATTGATAGAATTATTTGCAATAAAATTGTAGAAGTATTAAATTTATAGCATATGATTGTCTAAATAAAATCTTTAAAGTTAAAAGGTCATATGATAAAAATAATCAATCACTTAATCAAAAGTTTAAAGATGATGTAATTTGAGCAATATTCTTTTCATATTGTGTTATATGCTATAAATAAATTAACTAATAAGTACAAAATCCTTCTATTTAACATTAATTTTTAATTGTCAAAATTTTAATGCATATGTTAGTACTAATTATTTTTTTAATGTACACTTTGTTGAAATAAAGAGAAGCAAAAAGTCTTATGAATTAAGTAGAAGTAATTTTTTTTTTATATTTAATTTAAAATATTAAAAATTTTCAAAAATAATATTTAAAAAATTATATATATATATATATATATATATATATATATATATATAATTAATGAATTATACATCATTATTCATAGAAGTATTTGATTTAGCCTTGAAGTTGGATTTACAACTTAATAACAATACATAAGGTATTTAGAAACAACTTTTTGGCAATCTTGAACAACCTATATAAATTCCTAATTATGTTAAATATATCTTATTTTCTTTAGAAAAATTCTATTAATATCTTATCATATTCTTATTAACTTCATAAAAACCTTAGAAATTCTTAATAACTCTAATTAAATCTTAAAGAAATCCTATTCAACCAAAAGAGATTCTAAAGTAACTATTATCAATCCTAAATAGATTATAAAAAAATACTAAATAAACCCCCAAAGAGATTGTTAACTAAATTATAATTGAAACTTAACAAATTCCATTCAAATCTAAAACAAATCTTAAATCTATTCTATAAATCTTACTTGAAATCTAACAAAATTCTATAAGAAATTTAAAACTTCAATATTTATTAACTTACTACTTGATCTTGATTCAAAACTTTTATACTTCTTAATTTACTAGTTGTCAACAAGTACACAAAATTTGAAGAAAGCCAAATTTTAGATATTATTAATAAAGAAGAATTTAGAAAGAATTTATTACAAATTAAGCACATAGATAGTAAGATATGTGAGTTGGGACTTAATATTATATAATTTTATTCTTAAGAACTGTATAATGAGTTATTAAAATTTATTATTAATTAAGAAATAAAAGAATGTTTTGGTTTAGGATAAAAAAAAGCTATTATATATACTAAATATAAAGATATAAAAAAGAAAGTAAGGATTGTTGTAAGTCAACTATCCTAAGATACCATTAATCAATTACATAAGAAAATTTAAAACCATAAATAAATAAATACATATACATATATATATTCAAGAAATTCATTAGGTAAATTAAAGATTGAAGAAAGTGATTTCTTGAATAAATTTACCATAAAGAAATCTTTAAAATCAATTTTTTTATATGGTTAGGCCTTTGTCTTTGCTCCTGATGAAAATTGAATGTATAAGTGATACAATGTAGTAATAAGAAGGTAATTTAGAATTTATTTAGAAAAAGTCAAAACAACGAAATAACAATGTATTAAGCAAGTGTGGAGAAACGTAAAAATCTAGGGATTGAAAATGAAAAAAAATGTACCATTTGTCAGCGTGGTGGAAGGAGTGCTGGTGCAGGCATGTGAGCATCTGATGAAGCAGTGAGTTCTAACACTGGCGAGGTCCGCTGGTAGACTGGGAGCAGTTTTTTTCATTCAGAATGTTGGCCGCCAGTGTCGCTGTTGCACACTCCCAGCAGCCTTAGGACAATCCATGGCCCTCTTAGATTTTTCACTGTACATGATTGTAAAGAATATTCATATCCTTTCCTGTAGGAAAAGCCTTTCGCTGGTGAACCTACAGACCGCCCGTTGTCCGCACTTTCAGAGATCATCGTGTTCAGTTGAGAGCCATTCTAACTGGTGCTCATGCCTACTAGTGAAAAACATGTCCATCTTAAAGATGGTAAAAGCAACTCGCAACGCATTTCGAGGCAACAGTGATGGAGGTGCGAATCTGGTTTCTCTACATGCTAGACTGTACACACAACATCAGAACACAAATTTTGCATTTGATCGACACACAAATGATAACATGACCCCGTAGAAGTGGCAGACAATTCGGGAAATCATTTTAAATTGAATGTTGTTGGTATGTGTCTTGATCTCCACCAGTAATGCAGCCGGGTTGCTAGGATGTTGCATAAAATACAACGCGAGTCCCATTTCTCACCATCAATAAAAGTGATCTTGATCATCAAATGAGGTGCTTGGAGAGGAAGCATGTGTACCCTCTTGTAAACGGAAAAGGTATGTCAACCATGATTTAAGATGATAACGTTCTCTGTTCTACGAAGGAGAAGAGAATTGCAACTGGCCTAAAAACGCGCGAAGCAGGCGTACGAGTTCAAACGGATTCTCAACGTGCACTGCATGGCCACAATCTTCTACTTCGGCTACTTGATAGACATCGTGTCTCTCAGTCAGGTCGTTCCCTTCCCACGCAAGTGTAGGCCAATCATCAGCCTCTAAAGCCAGTGTATCTTCAAGCTGTAATTTTCTCATCTCTTTGGCGAAAAACGCTGCAAACTCTTCATCTTCTGGTAAGCTGTCCAGGCTCGGAAGAACCATGTTCACTTCCGGAAACTCTTGAACAAAATCGAACGGAAGCCTATATTCTTGAGATTCCCAATCATCTTTTCGCTGTGCTCGCTGTCCTCGTGATGTGTTTTGGGATCGTCGTCTCTTTGGTGGCTGCTGACCTGCCCTTTCGCACATCTTGCGGGCTATGTTCACAAATTTTGTGTCCAAACTGCCAGTAACTAGCAACGTCGGAGAGGAGGACTCGCAAAGTTTCTCCCAAAGAGACCTATGACATGCAAAAGAAAATTACGATTTCAATTTTTTTGATTCGCTAGAAAAACCAAGCATTTCAGGAGCACGAAAGGTCGGGAATCCATGAAATAACAGGAACTTACGGTTGCAAACCAACACTAAGAGATTCCAGAACAGCTGCCAAAGAATCCTTATCTTTGTGGTTCATCCTTCCCCTTTTTATCTTGCTAAAGCTCGGGTGCTGCCGTAAGCTACACAAAACCAAAACAGCAAAAAGTCCTCATATCAGCGATTGCATGCTCCACACCCTCCTAAATAATCGCTAATGAGATCAATGCGGATTGCATATTCACTAGTGCGATGGTTTAAAACCCTCGGTAAACCGGTTACAACAAACAACAGTATTTGTTAAGGAGAGCCGTCCTAACACTTCGGTTCGGCTTTAGTGCGAGATGGGACATCAGAGAGAAACATGGACAAGATAAAGCATCCCAGTACCTCTCCCAAAGCGGCTGCTCATACCACAAGTCAAGAAAAGTTTCAAGAGTCAATTCTTTCATGGTTTGAGCCAGCAATGCATCTTTAGATGCTCTCGTCTTCCTAAGTTTCTCGTCCTCCAAACCCGGACTACCTGAAATTGAAACCACACCCGAAACCTGCACACATGCACCAATAAAAACATAACTTGCGATCCATGGCTAAATGATTGTCTATTATTACAAAGACGTGCATGATGAACGACTCAAGCTCAACTTCAAAATCCCACCAAAAAATTAAGCAACTTGTTCGTTTCTCCTAAACCCCCCAATAGTGGTCAGATTGTATGGAGACCTTATCAACTCAAGAATTCAATGACTGCAAAATAGAATACTTACCTTATTACTATGATACAAAGAAAGATGAAGGGCAATTCGAGCACCCATAGAATACCCAATAGAGACAGCATGAGTGATCTTGAGCTTGTCCATTAGTTTTGACAGCGCATCCGAAACCAGGTCCATCGACATATTATTATCTCCAGGAGTCCCGAATCGATTTTTCACTTCGCTTTGGCCATGACAAGGAAGGTCAACAGCAATGCACCGGAATGATGAAGACAGTGCTTTCATGATAGGAAGCCAGTCTTGTCCTGTTCCAAGGAAGCCGTGCAAGAAGAGTAGGATTGGGGAGGATTCTTTCGCCTGAAAACAAAAAAAGACATATCAAAGAAAGAAGCGTCACTTCAATGATGTATAGCAACGTTTAGACTCATATCGCAATCAAATTTGACTCTGAATATTATATGAACTTCTAACGTAACACACATAACGTATAACATACGTTAAAAATTCAATGCTAAACTCCAATTATCACAAGGTCCGTTTACTGCCAACATCTTGAATTTCCCAACAAGTCCGTCATGTTTGAAAGTTTCAGGAACTTACAGTCACAATCTGAGTCTGCGTATCCCAAACGTGAAACTCAAATATTTTATCGCCTGTTGTAATCTTCACTATACTGCTTCCGATATCACCTACTCTTGTTGAAGTAACAAATTTTCGATTGAAGTTGCCAACATGTCTACAGTTAGATAATTTCAACAATGGCACCAAAAGCGTTCCGTTCTCCCGTAAGACCTCGAACTTCCCGTTCTCAATGATGTCTCCACCAAGCCACGTGTATGTACCCAGCCCATGGGCAATAGCACCATCCTGTGAGGTTTTCTGCTGATTCGATTTGCGCGTCTCTACCCACCTTTCATCAACATAGCCAGCTAGATGGGCATAAGCAGTTAGGCCAATACTGGTTTCGAATGCTGAGCTGATAACAGCTACCATGCCTCGGCTGTGTGCCCACTCCGCAATAGATACAGCTCGTTCAAACCCTCCCACGCGACCCGGTTTAATTACAACTGCGACTACGCCATCTGATGCAATTCTTTCAAGCATTTCATACGAGGTCGAAGTATCCTCGTCAACGCTTTCATCTAAAGCAACAGGTATCCCACTCTCCTTGCAAAATCGCGGTATATCTTTTATCTCAACAGGTTCCTGCGTAATGCCACATCCTGAGAAAAATTCGAATTCCTCTGAAACGAACATGCTCTCTCAAAACTGGCATAATTGCTTCAGATTACACAGTAAGATGAGTGTTATCCACCTGCGATCCATGCTCGTACACATTGCGAGTACCATGAAAATTTCCAGGCTTTCCAATAAGTTTAAAATGCTAACATTGCTAACACTCCAGGATCAAACAATGAAACTTGTGCAGAGGAGATAGTAACATAAATTACGCATCGCTGATTCGCATGAAGTAACTCGAACAAAGGATGTCGAAGAGAAGAGCTACAAACATTTGCTGAAGTTTCGAGCCAGAATTGTTACTGCAAAGGGCTCTGGCAATAACTACCGGAAACACATGTACTTTCTTTCAGCCAAGGCACGAATGTGCAAGTGCAGTTCTGTGGTAGAATATTCTTCATATGTAAACAGCTGCAGTGAACGACCATCTTATGATCAAGAGTTCGATTCCATACCTCTAAATATTCCATGTCGCACTCCTTAACAAGATTTGCAAACTCAATGGCCTGTTGGTAAGACCACTTTCGATTTGCGTCTGCTCTGATCTTCACATCAGCTCCTACACGCTCTCTAACTGCCTGAATGACTGCTGCATCCTGTTGTGGAGTAGCACGTCGACCAACCTGGATAGACATTCAAGTAGCCATACCCTATCAGAAACACATAAAATCACCCAAAGGCGCAGCTGACAGAATGCGTCAGCTGAGCATCTCCATTCAACAAAACAGCATGCCGTTGGTCTGCTGATGTCATTGGGGTGTGAGACCCATACCTGTTCCAAGTGTCTATAGTGTGGACAGGACTATACCTCGTACATATCCTGTTCGTAAATCATTACTTAAACCGAAGTTCATCATAGTCTGTCACGTCTACCTTTAGTTTCAGGGTACAAAATCCTTGTCCAACAAGAGTGCCAGCCTCATCTGCGACCTCATTAGGTGAGTCCGTGGAATCAATTAATCCACAGACTTTCGTCGTTGCAACAATGCCCTTCACTTCGATGCTTCCTTTGGAGCGATCACAATGCCCTGTATTCTGTCTTCGACCGACGAGCAGCTCCCAAAGAGAGCAATCAACAGAAACTGCTAAAGCCTCAAGTACAGCCATTTCCAAGCCACAGCGCACACTGGGAAATAGTGTATTACCCTGCATGCAGTACACGAGATGCTTAGGCACCATCTTGTTTGTGAGGCACGAATTGGAGGGTGGTGTTAAGAAGAAATGATTAAATGTTGATGAAAAAGTTGGAAGATCTGCAACACGTGATTTACAATGTGTAAAGTACAACACCGAAAAACTCTTGTTATCTCCAAGACAGTATTTTCTTACATGTATACCAACGGCATCGAGTAACCAAGATTTAAAGCTGCCATCGAGAAGCGCTAAAGTTGGTGGTAGAGTACAACCCTTCAGTATTGGCAAGAGAAGTTGAAGCTGCTCTTCCACGTCTTCTAAGCTCTCTTTGTGAAGCCCTTCCAGAGGTGCAACCTACATGATCATTCTGAACTTATTCCTCCATCATAATTAAATTGATGTGCAAAAATGATATACTGAGATGAAGGTGAAACCATGACTCTAGTAATAGTAAATAATTTACTAAACAAAATCGACCTTTATCTCGAAGACAGTATCCTCAATGGGACAAAGAGAAAAAATGCAGCTGCTGGAGTACATTTTTACTTAAAACGAGAAACAAGGATAACCAAGCAGCTAATTTACAAATGCTCAAAATAAGTAAGCTACGAAATACTTGAATTAGTATTAAAAAATACGACTTTAACATTGCGCATACTGGAGGGTAGGGATTACCTCTCCAACACCTGATACACCATTGTGGAGGGTGATACACAGTAAGAACCCGTGTCTCCAAATACTTTCTGAATCACCTCGTCTAGCACTGGTGGATGGTGGTGCGGATAATGGGATCCTACAATGGAATTCGATAATTAGAATTCAAGCACATAATAAAAGGTCAATGTTCCATGTTTCTAAATTTAGTTTAAGTATTGCTTACTTGCTGGTAAGTCTTACATCAAAAGACTTTAAAATGGTATCCAAAACTTCGAGAATGCCAGTCAAATGACGACACGTATATCTATTCAAATCATTACAGAGCATATTGAAGAACTGATGAGTTGGACGTGAGCCAATGGTGGGCCCATCATATAAACAAGAAAAGTCGAGTTTTTTCTATCGGTAGCATAAAGGTTACAGTTGAGTGAGATAAAAACAGGCACAACTCACTTGTATCGAAAGAGCTCAACGCCAGAGATGTTAAGTTCGGTTCCAATGTCTTCTCTACATTTACTTGGAAACAAGGAAGTTACTTGGAAGGCCCGATTTGCAGCCTGCATTACGGAGTTCTGCAAAAGACGGTGGAACTCTGCGTTGCGTTCGATGTTGCTTTCCACTTCCACAACCCAGTTTAAAGGGCTTTCTTCAACCCATCTAAGCGCATCCTCAAGCTCTCGTTTTGTCCGCACTAATATATGGTTCACCCTATAGTAAGATGAACAAAAATATAATCTGAAAATGATTTCCTTTGACAAATATGAAACTGATGGGAAAAACACAAGTTTTAAAAAAGGTCTTACAGCCTCTCATTTCGATGTCTAGGTAGTGAGGATTCCCATCAGAGCCTTTCGTGTTCCGTGCTAAATTTCTTTCATATACAATAAACTACACCTGTAAAACGAAGCCGTACTTTGATGCATAGCTTCTGTGAACGGATACTTTCGTGGAGAGCATGAATTTAAAGAGAAAATCTCCAATGAGTCAATCATGAGCAGAATTCAAATTAAGATATCAAAAAGTTACAAAAAAAAAGTTATTGTGCACGACAAACGTTCAAATAAGCGGACATAAGAGGGGGAATATGTTACCTGTGCGCTCGGCAAAGATTAAGAATGCTGACGTTATGCTCAGTGGACCAGATAGTTGCAAAAGTCGCTGATGGGACAGTCTTCGCAATTGGAAGCAAGCTAAAAATACCACCTCCCTCATTGTTGACTACCACAACTGTCACAGGTGCCTGTCCTACTCTGTAGCCCAATCTCGTTAAATACGTCAAATTGATATTTCCCGAGATAAAGAGGAGTTGCATGAGGAATAATCCGGAATCAAAGTGTCACTTTCGAGATTACAGATCATCATTCAAACTGGGTATTTGATGCTCTATCAAAAAAACTACTCAGGAAAACCGATAAAACTTGTTTTAACAATAGTGCTTAAAGGAGAATAAAGTGCAAGGTGACGTGTGAAAATTCATAGTGACGTAAGACACGTCGAATCTTTGGAACACGGAAAACACATGACGATCGGAGATTGAAGCTTAAAAAGCACATGACCAGTGCGGCGAAAAAAGTTCCTAAAAAAAGATCTACATACCTTCTGACAAAATGACACTGTTTTCATAAGTTTGAAAGATAAATACCTCTCTTTCAGCAATGTGAGACCGTTGGTATCATGTAGGAAAGAGACGTCACCCACCAGCAGGGTTACCTGAAGCAGCAACATACCAATTGTGATCAAAGAAATCCTTCCGGTTATGATCACTGTATTTGTGATAAAGGTTACGACAGCTGCTTTACAGTTCTGCTCGTGCTGACGCACAAATATTCAAGTAATCAATGGAAAAGCAATGGTCTCCAACTACACACACCCGACGGTTACTGCCAGCTCCAAAGCCAATAGCAGTGCTCAAAACTCCATCGATTCCACTCGCACCCCGATTTGAAGCTGTTAATTTTACTAGCCCCACAAATGGCGAAGAATAATTATAGTTCATATGGCTAGTAGCATACATCTCCACGTCCCGAATTGGCATACTATTCCCAAGAAATAACGTTGAACCAGGAGGTGTTGCTGCGGCCACAGCACGAGCAACGTATGGCTCAGTGATTGATGTTCCAATGCTCAGCTTAAACTCAATATCGCGTCCTATCTGCCAGCAAAATCAAATGAGTACTTATTACGAATATAAATTAAAACACGGTATCTAATATTGTTTCGGAACTAAGCTACAAGTTTACCACAGCTCTTCACGTATTGAACAAAATCAATAACGGTTCAAGTGTCACGCACCGCTTCTGAGAGTGTTTGTAATGTGTGCAAAAAACCATGCACTTGGGAGGCCTTCGGTAATAATTTTAGAAGAGAATCAACTAACGCACTTGTGTTCGATTGAACACGATGGGTTACAACGTGGGAAGGATCAGCCCGGATCGGGTGTTCCTCTACCAATATGTATGCCCTTGGAGTGGAGGCCCCTAAAAAGGTTCCAACACGTTTGCTTGTTAATCTGCCACCAATCTATGCATCATAATCAACCATCCATAAATTAGCACTTTTGTCGAAATTCTTAAAGTGCGTCATAAATATGTAAATGCACCAAATATTCCAAAGTGGTTTTCACAGAAAAGAAATGCATGTCTCCCAAGGTCGAATATGGTAGAGACAAACGTGAATGTAAGATGCATTCAAAGCTATCTCAAAAATGCAAATAAGTTTACAACTACCCCTCCTCATCATACAAAGCAAAACATCGCCATGGCAATAACGTTAAATAAATCATGGTCAATTCACGTCATTCACTCTGCCAAATGAGAAAGAGGTGCTGCTTCACAAACATGTACCTGAAGTATTACGTCAGGCTCGATTACATCTGCAACCGATTTTTTCAGAAGTATTTGATCAATATGCTGAATTATATTCAAAGACAATTTGTTAGCCTTTCCGGAATGAAAGACATGACCAATTCGAAGACCTGATAATACGTCAGGAAATACTGGCCAACCCAAGTGGGAAGCAAGCATAGCGACAGCCCAAGTCTCCTCAGCAGTGTGGAGGCCCCCAACTACTAGTAATCCTCTCTTAGCACCCTTCATTTCATGAACTATTTCCAAAATATCTCTAGTCCCAGTTTGGTTAACGCTATTCATGTAAGTCGTGAAAGGAGAAGAACTGAGGATCCATCTGTCCAATCCCTTTAAGCAAGCAGTACTCCATGGGTCCGTCAAACCAGCAAGAGGCTCCCGAAACGGGCAGTTGATGTGAACAGGCCCAGAAGGAACAGTTTTAGCTCGAAAGACCGCAGAGTCTAGAGTAGTGAGAACCATCCGGGCAGGAATTTTATCGTCAGCTGGAGGTAAGTCAAAAAAATATCGTACAAAACCTCCAAAATGATTGACCTGGGAACATAAAGAGCGTTAAAATTTCAGCACACAGCACTGGTGCCAGCAAGCTGATACCACATTTCAATACTTTACTGAACAGGGGGAAAACGGTGTGACAAAGGAAGAAAAAATAAAATAAAGAATATACACATCAAAAATATTTTAAATAAACATGAAATTCCATGATTATAACGTGTCGAAATTGTGTTGCCCATTAGCATCATGGAACTTGCACGTTAACCTATCCAAGTGTACCTGGTCGATGGTTTGGTTAGCAGATGTGTCACGCAGCTCATGTGGACGATCTGCAGTTAGTAAGAGCAGAGGAATATGGTCTTGGCTGGCCTCCACTACCTGTGTGATGCACCACGTAATGAAAAGGTTACACTCAAAATACCGTTGTGTAGTGATAACGCAAACAACCTTGAAAAGCAAGTAACACTTCGTATCAACCATTATTTTAAAAAAAACAAACAAAGACTTAAGAGAGCCATAAGTTGATGCGACAACTAGAATTAGTTAACAGCAGCCCAACAATCTGATGACTGGAGTGTCACGTACAGCAGGCAAAAGGTTGGAGACAGCAGTTCCAGATGATGTGATTACAGCAGCAGGTTTATTGGCACCTCGACCATATCCAACTGCATGAAATGCTAGGGACCTCTCGTCAATGCATGAAGTACACGTGACTAGTGAGTTTGCTGCAGCCGCTGCAGCAAGAGGAGATGACCTTGAACCTGGTGCTATGCAAAAATACTGCATATATCACAAACACAGCCACCATCTAAATCATCAAAATGAAAAAAATACCTCACATGAATCTCAAAATTTCATCTATCCATCGGTTCGGTGGCAGATAGAAATCAGTTGATCTAATACTAAAACTCCTTCGTTTGAAAATCACAATGCACAAACACACCACATCCTGTCTTGGAGCATGTTTAGTTCCAAACTAAAATATCCTCTCCGCTACAATCACTACTACTGAAGATCCAGCTTTTGTTTACATGAATAATGAACAAAAAAAAAAAAAAAAAAAAAAAAAAAACACATCCACTTACTTCAATTGTACATGCGATTATCACCTACCAGAACAATAGAGAACCATTTACTGCATCGACTGCCAAAAGATGGCTGCTGAAAAATTAGTTCACGTACCGTGATGCCCAGACGGCAGCATTCTTCAACAATTAGCTTTGCCCAAAGAGCGTTTATATTGACAACGTCTTTCAACGCGCGACTTGGTTGTAGGAGCGATTCGAACTGCAAACAGAAGTAATATTTCCATAAAAGTAAACACAGCATGTAAGCTACTGCCTTCCACTAGAAAATCCTGGCGTATAGAGTAAGTCAACTTTTAGAGTTTGACGTCGAGAACCTGAAGCAAGATTCACTAGAGATGCCATAAATGGCGGAGGATAAGGATACATCCCCTCCGATTTGGGAAAGCCTAATGCTTTTTTAAGTAGCCGTGAAGCCAAAGATATAGCGGTTGATTGCCACTCGCAGAAGTATGAGATAAAGAACGAGCCAGAAAATGTGAGCAAGAGAACATCAATGGGAAGCGATTATTTCTGTGATTAACACAATGTACCTGACTAACTTTCAATTCCAGCTCTTGCCACTCTGAAGAAGGATCAGAATCCTTTACAACTCCGACCCCAGCATACAAGAAGATATTTGCTCCCTGAACAATGGTCAATTATTACGTGAATGAAGAAAATCAGAAAACAAGTGATCATAGCTGCGTAGCTTTTTGTCGTGTGAACTTCAAAAACGCACAACAGTATACACAAGTTCAGCTTCTAAGCGCTCGACGTGGCTGAGGTCATTATCACCTTGTGAACTATATTCGCACCATTATTGGTATGATTTGACTTGGATTCTATGAGTGAAGATCGTATTCCAACAGCAAATTCCGAACCCATACCCCCAAACCATCCCACCGGTCCAGCATACATCCCTCTGTCAAAAGATTCTGCAAAACGATGAATCGAATAAAAGTTGAGCACACACTATTATCCAAGATAATCTGAATGATGTCGTTGACTAATAGAGCGATACACAGCAATCATAATTTCAAAGAGCTCAATAAGGAGCGAGGTCATTACCGCTAGCAGTGATGGCCTCCCTAGCAGGAGCCTGCGGGTGACCACATACAGCTGGCGTTGGATGCAGAACTCTAATTAAGTCGAACTGAAAAATTGCGATGAAAACGTGTTAGACACACCTTGTTGGTGTCAACATCGAATGAAGATAATACAGGCATGATCAATATAAAGAAAAACAAAGACTTCCACTAAACTAAGACAATATTAATATTTAATTTTCCACAATCAAGTTGTCCCTTTTAACATACACGCAGGCAGCACCATGAACTACCAAATTATTTCTCTCCACATAATATTTTAAGAGAAATACATGCAATAAAAAACGGGATATGTGAGACACTTGTGCCTGGACATGTTGAACATCACTTTCGACGAAGTAAAAAATTAGGTCGGCACGTGATGATAGTAGGTGTTGGAACATCATAGAGCGCCGAACACAACCAAAAAGGTTACAAATACAGAGGTTCAAGGAAAAAAAACCTACTTCGTCAACCTCGCTGTGCAATGTTCCAAGAAAACGACCATAGAGATGTTGAACTCTAGCTTGCTTGATTATGCTTTTATGAGACTCAACCTCGACTTCCTTGCAAACTTTCTGCAGATGGAAATTTATAAAAATAAAATAAGAACTTGGTCTCTTTTTTTGAATTCGATTCACTAGAATAAAGTAATCGTCCTATAACATCTCAACCGACCGAAAGTTATCGACGTTGAAAGGATGAAAACTTATCTCCATGAAAGCCCAAAAGTATCATACTACGAATACGATTAAGAGCAAATAATAGAATGATCGCTAGTAAAGACACTAGTAAAAATCGAAACGACTAACCAAATTACAGACTGGACAAACAGTACCTCCAGGTTCTGTCTAATGCTCTCACGCACAATTTCAAACTCCTCGTGGTCCTTTGAGCTGCCACAATGGAAATAACAACCTTAAGGGTCTGGACCGTTATAGAGTTCAAGATTTGCAACAGATAATGTAAAAATACTTTTGCTTTTAGACCATCAGGATTGAGTAAAAGAACCTCAAAATCAGGTCAAGGCCAGTGTCGAGGTCAATGGAGCTGGTGTATCCTCTAGATCGTGTTGCTGCCACTGCTTCACTCGCCACAAGCAGACCCCTACGAGCAAACAATCGTTCCGGCTGCCACATGTTTGAAAATATGCCACTTGTCAGTGTTTACTTGCAGGTTATAATGAGTGCACGAACGAGCATTTAATTTTCGAAAGGATAAAAAAAACTTAGACAAGAATAAGTGAAGACCAAGATGGAGGGTAGTGGTCGAAACTTGCAGGCTTACACAACACCACTTGCATACTACAGATTTCATATAGAGAGTATCACGCAAAAACATTAACTTGTTGAGTCCTAGTTGAGCCAAAAAATAAAAATATAGAGATGAACTTACGGTGCTACCAATAAAGGAGCTGCCTTCTGAGAGCTGGATAGAAAATTGGTAAGCACTTGGGTCCTTTGCCTGCATTGACCATGATCCAGTAACAAGCCTAAGAATTGATTTTCACTAAAAGACACATTCACACCCACAAGCCCGAAGAGACTAAAAGACATCATTGACAAGTAGAGAATCATCAAAGCTTGAGCTACACACCTGCAGTAATGCAAGTATTGTGAGAGGGTCAACGTCGTCGCTTAACTGGAGTTTGGTTCTCCTGGCCATTACAACCTGCAGACGAGCAGTCATGCAATGCATGTCACTAAATGATCATGAGGTAGACCCTTACACCTAATTTTTCCGGTGGGTAAATTATTACCTAAAAACACTTCAACACCTCAAATATTGAATCCATTTAAGATATGTTAGGCTTGATCAATCTAAGTCAGATTTTATTTTGCATTGACGTTGACATTGACGTTTAACACAAGGCCATGGACGTTCCATATCCTTTGCACTTTCGAACAAGCGTCCTCCTTGTTTCCAAATAGGTGATTGAGTGCGACACTCAATTGATATAAATCAATTGGTCATGAGATTGATGCAAGAGGTAAAAAGAATGAGAAAACCTTGGAAAGACCGACGATAGAATCGTCTTGGTCTGATGGCTCCTCTTCGGAGAAGCCCTCGGACTTTTCACCTTCTCTGATTCTTTGCAACGTGTTACACACTGCCTGATGCCATAAACTTTCAGAGGGGGCATGCTCTTTACTTTCAACCGATAATATTTGTTGCCTATTTTGGCTTCCTACATGACAAGACACCTAACCCAGATATGGTATCAGTATTTTAAAGCGTCATACAAGCATCAACACTCGTAAACAGATAAGCAACCAAGCGAACACTCGATCAGAATTAGAACCCAAAAAGTTTAAATAACGAAAACTTCATCCTGAAGCCAATACGAAAATCGCTAACCATGAAGGACTTCAAACGAAACTTGATGACAAGAAAAATCCAGATACTAGGAGTCATTACCTGGTTTAATGTCTCAGACGCCATCTTGACAGCTGCTTCAAAGGATCGATGCAATGCAGTGTCCCAAGCTACTGATACTGCAAGCATTGAACAGCCTTCACACTCACAAAACTCAACCTGTGAAGTGATGCACATCATAACGAATCTTGTTACGAGTATGCTTCGAACGTCATAAAAATCTCTGAAGTTATTTCAGACCTCAGTCCTCCTAAGGCTGAACTCATTCAAGTGACAATAAATATCAAAGGCAATAAACAGATAACCTTAGCCATGACTTGTCAGTGTTGACGACAAAGCAGAAACCGAGCATATTGAGAAAAAATAACTCTGCGTATCCATCGCAGATGCTAATGAATATTCCAGTGTGCAGCACATTCTTGAATGGTTTAGAATGCTTACGCTGGAATACGCTACTGTACAAGTTAGTTAAAAAGTTCCTAAATATCTACCTGAGGAATCAGAAAATAAAACGACCCAAACGGTTTCCATTCTTCTGCCGGCTCCTCCTGGGGATTGAATCGCATGGCCCCATACACTTTAATCTCGGGGGCTGCCTTTCCCAAAAACCTGCACGAGAATAGTGATAAGCATCCGAGGATGGTATACATACTCGTAATGTTGATACATACGACTGATTCCCTCTATGTATAGGCTACTAATTCACTTTCATTGTAATTTTCTAGTTGAAATTCCGGCCACCAACTGACGTCCTAGTCGTGAATTACAACGTTGAGCCTCTTAATGATGCGCACAGAATTCTGATTAACAGGGGCATATGTAAGGTATGTAAGGTATGTAAGGTATGTGATTTGGAAGGTATGAAAACAGCTTGTAGATAAACAATTAACATAAATCCATACAAGGAATTTAGTACCTCAAGTTTCAATTTCCTGAAGTGGCACTACAATTACTACTCTTTTGAACATTGACTTGCTACGTAGAAACTGATATCTTGAACGGGCTGCAAATAAATTGAGCGTGAGATATCATGTGAAAAAATTTCGACCTTTCAGAACGAGAAAACCAACCCATAATTGTTTCCTTCTCCAACATAATCTGGAATCGAGAAGCAGATTTACAAGCGTGATTCTGCTCCTGCGGTCATTATTTAATGTAACCGAGACGTTGGTAAAAGAATTCCTCCAAAGAAGAGGATAGCCCTAGTGCTACATGTGAGGTACCTTTGAATGGATGTCCATTGATTCTTACAGAATGGTGAGTTGTCCTGAAAGAGGACTGCTGCACCAACCCCAGCAACGGCACGAAAATCGCAGTCGTCAATACCTTTATCATGATTCCCACAAGTACTCGAATTCTTTGAGCTTTCATTCCTGTCCCCTCTTGGAGCGCGGGAAGAGAAATATGTTCGAGGTAAACATTTGAGTTGACCTTGGAGCCATTCCAACGCTTTGATGCCAGGAGGTAAAGGTACCTACCGTCCAACAAATGGCAGCAGCATGAAGAAATATCAGAATATAACCGTGACAGCCGTAGCCAGCCTCAACTGATACGAGAGAATAAAACTCTGCCATAATTGATATCAGAAAAATGTGTAATACTCTGCTACGTGCAACAAATCAAGAGAATGTGGTTGTTCAGAGAGAACAAGATACCGAAGGGTCAGGACCTGAATGCGAATCACCCCGCTTTTAGAACATGAAAGATTCTCTAAACCGTTCAAAGCCGCCTCGAGAACAGGCAGCGCATCGTTTAGAGAAAGTACTGGGTCTAGTGTCCGAGTCTGGCAAATGGTAACAGGTACTTCTGAGACTCCCAAACCAGAGAAAATCCCACTTTCGTTACGGAATTGCCCGAGATCCGCAACTTCCTGTGGGTTTTGCACTACCTGTATTCAACATCGAACACAATTCATAAACTGAATACGATACACACTCAGATAGGATTGGTAACAACTTCAACCGCGGGTCTAACGTTGATGCGGAGAGGTTCATTTCAATTACACTCGTATAATGTTACTCTGAAAAATTTCTAATTTGTTGTGTAGTGGTTGAAACAAATCGTTGCTAATACAAGAGTAAGGTTGCTGACCAACACAAAACCCGAACTCTAACAAGCAGTGAGAAAGTTGAAACTTGAGGTAGAGTGAAAATGATACTCAAGAAGACAAATCTCAAAAACAAATTAAAGTTCATGGCGACCAAGATTGAGCCCTACCCTTGTGAAACCCTTTTCGAGTCCCATGCGAACATGAAACCCATGCCTGGAGGTCAAGCGACTTCGACCATCTCTCAGCCCTGGAGCCCATAATGTTTCCGTCTCTCTGGGAAGGCTGGATAGATAGGAAACCCTGCAGAATTTTGGAACAGGGTTTCTACTACGAGGTTTCACATTACCTAGCCATGAAGAACTAGTTAAGCATTTTCCTTTAGTTACAGGAACAGGAACACCCGCCCTTTCCAGGCGAGAGATGTAGAGCGATTGCATGGTGCTGGGGACTGATCAGCTCCTAACAGTCCAATCCATCATGCAATTACCTTCCAACTCAAGTTGAGAGACATGACATCACGTTGAAAGATGATAGTCAGTACACCAATCACAGATGATGAAAGGGATATCCACACTGCTTTCAAACAATTTTTCTGATCAATGCAGATAAGCAATTGGTGTTGGCAAAAAAAACACTAAACTAAAAACTAAAAACTAAGCTAAAAGATTCGTTGAAAAACCAATTATGATTAATAGGTTTCAATAAGAGGCACAAGCAGCCAATTCATCAGTGTTCATGAACTCGAATTGTGTAAACATTACGAGCTTACAATCGAACCGTCCAGGGTGGTTATATGTAGATTACAGTATCAAGGCAAGACTATCTGTAGCACAATCGCCACGAAAGGAGCTTCACCATACGAAAGGAACCAAAATTCTCACTAATTTGACATAGAGCAGAACTGCAGAGAAGGGTGATTTCAGTCCTAACAATCTCTGGTACACTGTTGCATTATCAGAAGCAGCAGGCGCTCTCTTTCTTACGAAACCAAGTCTTCTCCCTACAATGCGGCAGAAAATTCCAATTAAAATCATAAAAATGGAAAACAAAACAAAACAAAAAATATATAAAGTTATACCGATATCAACCCGATTACAGAAAATTTGGAGAACTCTAAATCCAGTTCAAAAGGGAGCCAAATTTTGCCGAAGGCAACAGCCAAAATCCACAGCTAAAATGACATGGCATTACAAAACTAAGTCAAGAAGCTAAAAAGGAACAAGGAACAAACGGTGCATACTGCACCGAAGGCTCTATGAACAAAGCGAGGAGAGCAAAAAGCGACATGGACCAAACTCCGCTGAATCAGCGCAGAGAAAGAGTAGCGCAAGAATGGAACGCAGAGAGGCCAACGCAAGCTCACCTAAGAAGCTTACGAGGAGAGAAGGCGGGCATGAGGGCGACAATCCAGAGCAAGACAAGCTCCGCCGGAGCTCAAAGGAGGAGCAGGAGGAGCAGGAGCAATAAAATCAACAACAACAACAAGCCCTTCAGCTCGCTTCCTGTCTCCGTCTGTGGATATGGTTGACGCCATCGGATGAATGATAGACGGATGAATTAATGACATATCGACGTCTCCTCATCCCATGATGAATGCTGGAGCTCATCCATGTCCCGTCATCGCTTTTCCTCCTCCTCCTACTTCTTTTCTTCTTCTTCGTCGTCTCTTCTCCATTTCCGGTTTCTTTTTCTTTCACATGTGATTTCGTACTTTTCACTACCTTCTTCTTTTTTTTCACTAATGTTGTCTTTTTTTTCACTAATGTTGTCTTTTTTTTATAAGAAAAAGGGTTTCGTTAAACTAAATAAATAGTTTTTGTTGTCTTTCCTTGTAGTTCCTGAGAAATGGTTAGACTTTCATTAGCATTTGGATACATAAGTTACATTCATTTTTGAATTTTAGTGTGTATGTATGTATGTATGTATGTATGTGACAAATAATGTGTCACATTAGTACACAAAAATTAAAAATTTCTGTGAAAAAATTATAATTTTTGATATATAAGACTGTGTGTGTGTGTGTGTGTATATATATATATATATATATATATACATTCAATAAATGTTTACAAAAGTTTAACAAATTGTTTTCTTAATTACTTTTGCCAAAGTACGATGATTGCAATGAGGTCAAATGTGAATTAAATTTGTAACACAAATTAGAATGATTTGCAATGAAGTCAAATTTGTACATACTTTTGTGAAATATTTGACAATTCTACCTTTCATAATGATAAAATTTAATCAATTATTTTCATTACATGACAACATAAATATGTAGTATCATTATTTATTTATTTTCCTCACTTGTGAACATAATTTTTATAGAAAGATTAGTAGATGATTAGATCTTGAAAGGTTGTACATTTCACATTCATATTTTCTGTTCATGTCAAACATCTTTATTTTTCTACTTGTTTTCTCATGTTTAATTTTTTTCCACTTATATTACTTATTCAATATTTAAAACGAAATTTATATAATTTATTATCATCTAAATAGTTAGTAGTTGTTTTAATACACACATAATCATTTTTTTTCAGCATCTGTTTATTTTTCTCATATATATATATATATATATATATATATATAAATACACACACACACACACACACATATATATATATATATATATAAATATATGATTTATTACTTCCAAAATTTATATTAAATTTTACATCTTCTTTCTAAGTATATTACATCAAAATAAACCACCATTATCATATAATAGTAATCATCAACTTCATAATATAGAAATATGTTTTGTATCATAATCATGAAATCATTGAGATTATGATAACAATTTTATTACTGTTAAATATATATATATATATATATATATCAATCAAGAGAGAGAGAATTTAAATAAAAAAATAAATTGATTTTAATAAATGAAGGACAATGATAAGATTTATAGAAGAATGTTAAAGAATCTCAATGATTTTATTTATTTTCATGATTTGTATTTATTTCAGTCATAAATTTTAGTTCTGAAGATGAATCCAAATTGTGGATACTAATAGAATAAAGTTTTGGAAGGACTTGATGGAAGAGTAAAAAAACACACTACAATGTTGTTGTGTTGTTTTTTTTAATAAATATTTTTGTTACAATTTAGATTTTTTCCTTGTAAATAAAAATTTATATGAATTTTTAAATATAAATTATGGTTTTAGATATAAAACTAAATTAATTATATATTTTAAATTTTAAATTTCAATAAGAAATAAAGCAATATTTTCTATACTTCATATTAGATATCAAAATCTATGTCTATTCTTCTAAATATTGATATGTCAAGAATAAGAACTCAAAGAATGTAAATGAACAAGTAAGATGTTTATCAAAGAAAGAATAATAAAAAATAAATAAGTGTTTATATATATATATATATATATATATATAAGAAGAAACTGAAATAATTATTGCTAATGATTAAAAAACTTACAACTCTTGAAACTAGAGTAGAAGCAAGAAAAGAGCTGACAAGAGTGAAGAAGGCCTCATTCTTGTTGCTATATATATTATCTAATTAGGAGCTAGGTCAAAATATTCTAAAGGACTTTCAACATGTATCAAACTTGCAAGACTTGTGTTTAACTTACAATCTAAGTTTTATGTATGTATATCATATGGCTAATTTATATCACAAGTGGTCAATTTATTGAACAAGTTTTTAACTTACCAAATACCTATATAAAATCAAATCTATGACTATAAAGCTTTGCAAATTCTTATAAATAAAATATTATTAATATTTATCTATTTTTACTTATTTTTAATCAATTAATCTTATTTAGATGATTTTTATTATTAGTTATATTTTTGACATTATTCTTCTTTTGGAACAAGTTCTACAAGAAATAATAATCACATATTAACAAAATCTAAGATGTGACAAATTGTATTTGTTACACACTTTGATCTTTATTTTCTTCAAATGTGGTTGATAGATCCTCTTAGCTAACAATAGTATCTTGTGTTAGAATAAAAATATCATCTTATGATTTTATCAATGGTAAGGCCTTCATAACTTCTTTCAAATAAAACATTTGAAATACTACTAAGAGTGGTTCCTACTTCTAATGTTATTACAAAAACATCAAGAATTTTTTTCAAAGTTATGATATCAAATACATTGCATCTTGCCATCTATTTAAGAAAAAAATATTATTATTAAGAATATTTGACTTTATTTGCTTTATAACAATGAATTGTTTAATTCTTTATCTTGGTTTGATGGATGTTGTTAATAAAAAGTATTGCCTTTTTTTCTTGTATCTGCAAGATTTTAGGATGGTTCTCTTCTTTAGTTACTAATATCTTGTTTGCATCAATGTATAAGATATTCTAACTTATGTTGTCATTTTCTTGAATCTAATATACATTTGTTTTCAAATTCTTTATTGTTGTCAACTTCTATAGGAAGAAGTAGCATATGTCTTCTTCTTGATGTTGTATAACATGTTTTCTTGCTTGAAAATGCACCAAACACTTGGCCATTGAAACCAAATTGGAAATTACAATAAATAAAGGTCCTAATAATTCTAATAGAATTCTAAATAAATTCCAATTGAATCTTAATAATTCCAATTAAACCTTAATCAATTATAAATAAATTTTAAAGAAATTTTAAAAAGAGTCATAAAAAAATCATAATTTCTTAAAAATAAATCATAAAGAATATTTTAAAATATAAAGATATAATATAAAAATTATTAAGAATACTTAAAATAAAAATCTAAAGAAATAATAAAAAAAACCTTATATTAATACTAAAAAGAAGTTCTAAATAAATTCTAAATTAATTTTCACCAATCCTAATCAAATCCTAATAAAATCTTACTTAAATCTTTATCAAATCTTATAGTAATTTGGAACCTCAATAATTAGTAAATTAATTTTTTATTTGACATAAATTTTATACACCTTAAATTTTCTTAACTGAAAACAAATATAAGAAATCTAGAGAGATTCAAACATATCAAATAGGAGATAAACATCATAATTCACTTAGATATCAACCAACTTTCTTCTCCAATCTTGATGTTGTTTTCTTGTACTAATATCTCATGACTAAAAAGTCCAATTGGTCTCAAATTTTGCAAAGATTTTAAAAATTAATTTTACTATCTATACATAAAATTTTGTCTTAATCTAAATAGCATATTTTTGTAATTCTTTAAAACTCTCATTATTCTTTCAAACCTCAATTTTTGACATGCCAATCTTATTGAGATTTAATAATTTTAAATTTAAAAATTAGATTAATCTAAAATTTATAATATACATAAAAAAAACTATTATTATAAACCTACAACTTTTCATCTATAGATCTACTAAAAGGCTTACAAAATTTTTCAAAGTATAATTTTTTTTTTATCTCTAGAAAACCATAGTTACTCCAAAAACAACTTTAACTATATATATATATATGATTAGATTGATTTGCTTAAAAATAGAAAATGATCCAAATCTATGATAATCTAACTTATTATAAAAATAAGAAATGTTTATATTACAACAAAAAAACCATATTTTTTCATTAACATAAAATTAATATTGTTGTTTAGATAGACACTTATGTTGATCTCTATTGTTTTTAAGTTTTCTTAAGTTGTACTTTTATTGTCATATGTAGCTTTAATAAACTGTTTTTTAAATCTTTTTTTGTAAGATTATCAACTTTTGAAAAGTTAAAAATATTTAAGTATAAATAATAATCATATGTAGAATAAATTGGTAATTGTTAAATAGAAGAATGTATTAGATTACTATAAGAAAATTTTATTGATGGCAAAAGAATTTTTCAATCATCATAATAGTAATTAATGGTATATATTAGATATTTCTTCAATATTTAATTTATTTAATTTATTTAATTATTAATTTAAAGATAAAAAATCAAGGATTATTTTATGACCATCTTTAATATCTGGAAAAAGATTTTTTAAAACCTTGATACAAATTGAGTCCATCTATCTAATGATACCTCTTGGCAATTAGTAATAGTAATAAATATTATCAAGAAAGAATTTAGTTGATTCTTTTCTTGTGATAGATTTTTTACATGGTACAAAATAAACCATCTTAGAGAAAAAATCTACTATCACATATATAATATAAACTTAAAATTAAAAAATCCATGATAAAATTTATAGAAACAAAAGACTATAATTATTTAGCTATAGATAGTGGTTGAAAAAATCCATAATATTAATGACAAAGAATTTTTTTATCATAAAAATATTATATGATTGTATAAAGTTTTTAACTACTTTTTATAATTGAATCAACTAAAAAACTTTTAAGATTAATTCTAAGATCTTATTATATCTAAAATGCCATATACCTAGAAAGTTGTGATGAACTTGAAGAACTTATAAATGCCTTTTATTTTCCAAAATTAATATGGATTTTTAAAAATAAAGTAAATTATTTTTAAATTCAAAATTAGAAATATTATAAAATTTAAAAGAATTATTATTAATA